CCCAGGGTGGGGCCCTTTGGGTGCCTGCTCTCAGGCTCTTGAGCCCCCTCTCGAGGAACGCTTCGGAGCTTTTCCCCGTAAGGCATTTGTTGTGCGTTATCATTTCCTACTCATGCATGTCTTTGGTTTCCTTAGCTGATATCAAAACCCTCCAGCTGGGCTTCTGTTTGTAAACAGCGCTTTTGGTGATGGGTTTTTTGTTTGCTCGTTGGGTTTGTTTTTTTAGAGCAGGTCCAATGGAGCCTTTTTCTACTAGTGGAAGAAAGGAGTTTTTCCTCTTGTGTATTTGCACTGTACCACAGCACCACCTAGCGGTTTCCCAAGCAAGAAAGGAAACTGCAGATCCTAAAATAGATACGGTACAACAGATTCATCGCCTTGAGATGGGCTGGTTGCTTCGCCAACGGCCTGCAGTGCACCAGAGGGATGGTCAGGCTTGTGGGGACCGATGTCCGTTCCCGCCCGCCTTGATCCTCCTGTGTTTCTCCCAGGGGCCACTGGGGGGGCCCATGTGCCTCCCCGCTCCCTCCTGGCATCACAAGTCAGCTCAGGCTTTTGCGTTTTTTTTCGTTTCATCCTTTTTTTGCAGACCGTGAAATCCCCCGAGCGACAGCTGCAACAAGTGAAGGCCATGGTGACAGCTGGACAGCCACTTCTGAGTCCCCAGCAGCATCTTGGAGGGGCTGCCTGACGGCCAAGCCCTTTTTCCCCCCCCCCCCCCCGCCCTGCCCCAGTGGGCACCGGGAGCAGCAGCCACTGGCTTTGCTGCTCTTGCCGAATATTAGCCAATTCCCTGTACCCCCCATGGGGTTAGTCGCCCAGCTTTGAGCCACACAACAGCCCAGCGTGAGTACACCTGCTCCTAGAACAAGCTGCGGGTTGTCAGGATGCCTTGCTGACCTCCAATAGACCCCCTGGTGGGAATCAGTCGCCCCCACCCAGCAACACTCTGCCCCTGCACTTGTTGGTTTATATCGATGAGGCCAACCTGCGGAAACGCCATGCAGTGCTTTCCCATTTATCCCCATTTTACAGCTGAGGGAAACTGAGTCTGACAGACAGATAGCTCTGCTCCCGAGGATAGGAGAGAGCGCCCAATCATCCCCTTATCTCTGAGGATGTGTAATGCTGGAAAGTCCCAAAATAACTGGAGAATTTCCTGGAGCTGATAAGTAGGGCCTGTTTAATGCAAACACCTTTATCTCTGGCTTTTCAGCTGTAAAGCATACATCCTCATTTTGCAAGATGTTGTGGGCTTCCCATACGAGAGTCACATGGCCTCAACACACTTAAGAAGGGAAGCAGAGGTTGCGAGGCGAGAGTCCTCCTTCTCTTCTTCGGAGCAATGAGGAAACAGGGCCTCGTTGCATAGAAGCAGGGGTGGAAGGCCAGAGGTGAAAAGGGCAGCCACCTGATTTTTCCCTAGGGTCAGCATCCCTTGCCAGATGCAAGAGGCACAACTCAGCAGATAAGTGCGCTTGTGCCCGTGTTTTACAGTGTGCGCGTCAGCCATGGGGCAAGCTTCCACACTGAACTGCAGCATGTGTCCTTGCAGCAGTGTGGGGAGCTAGAATATTCTTTTTCCACTCTTCCTCTTGTACCTATACCAGGTAGAAATATTTCACCTACTGATTTCTTAATGGCTTTTCGAATTTTTAGCCTAAGAGCTCTGGGTCAGAAGGCAGAAGAGAAATGGAATGGGTAAAAAGTGGCAGAGTCAAAAAGAGTACCACTTTTTTCGCCTTTTAAAAATTTTATTCATGCTTGAGAGACTGACATATATACTGGTTTTGGGCTTTTTGTAAGAATCCAGAGAATGGCACAGTCCCCCCCCTGCTCGCATCTACAGGTCAGAAGAAATCTGGGCGTGCTAAAATTCTCCTTACCAGGCTGCTGTTAAAGACGCATTAATAGAGCCAAGGGAAAAGAGTATTGGCCATAGACTCAGGGGGGACTTTGACCCAGGACTCCTGGGGAATTTTCCCCGAAAAGCTCTGGAAAGACGAGAGTTTCTGTTTGTCCTGCGCAGTCAATTTCCCTCTCCCTCCCCAGCTCACTCTGTCATATGCTCCGATAACCTAGTTTGCTTAACGTGATGTGGGAATGTCTTGTTTTCCCACATCAAACACTGGAAGGCACATCAGAGAAGAGGAACGAGATTACCCTTCACGGTGCGGCCTTTGCAGCCAAGAAGGGAATTTGCAGGGCAGCTGATTTCCCCATGTGTCTGGGATGAGATGGGATGAGGAACCGAAGTCAAAGCCCCCTTTGATCCCACAAGGAAGGGAGGCTTAAAAATAGACACTTCCTGTAGCAAAAATAGACCCAGTGACGGTTTCGTAGGGTTGAAAAGTTGCTGCTTTCATTCTGGGGCGTGTCGCTGGCCCACGGCCTGCACCAGCTAGCGTGGCAAAGCGGCGACGGGCTGAGGCTGCTGGGATCGAAGCCCGGTGCAAGTGCTTGTCCTGGGTGCGCCTCAAAAGAGAGTTTTGGGTGCAGATCATCCAGCAATGAAAGTCACTGTCTGGTTTCTGTCTAGCCCATCTTGCAGGGTTGCTGTAAGGAGGAAAGAGTGGGATTGCCTCTCGCAGTCTTTCTCAGCTTACTGGCTGGGGATGATGGTGGCTGTAGTCCAACACACCTGGAGGTCACCCAGTTGTAGATGGCTCACTTTTGCTATGTGGTTTTGCTTGCTAGCGGCAGGTAGAGAAAGGGACAGAACTGGTCCCTTCTTAGGCATAGTTACTGATTTTAAGTATTTCTAGAAGACCTTTCTGGACAGGAGCTCCCAACCCCAATTATGGGGGAAAAAACCGGGAAGGCTGTCCGTAAAATTCACCGGCCTCCACCTGTACATCCTCCAGGCATGGTCACTAAAGGGGGGGGGGCACACTTCTCCCACTGTCTTTGAGTTTTGAAGCAGCAGGCTTATATCTTGGGTTGATTCCTGCTGGACTCAGCCGGGCGTGCTCCTGAGTCAGCCTGGGAGGATCGGGTCCCACAGCCCAAGCAGAAAGAACTCGGTGATGCAGCTGGCGCAGGCCGTGCACCAGAATCTCACTGGCCTCTGCACCAGAATCTATAAATGGTGGGCAAGAGCGACAGGGCCATCTCAGAACAGATATGAGGGTGCATTCGGCCCCCGAGATGCAGCAACCCTTCCTGGGCCTGGAGGAGGGAAAGGTGCCCTTGGACACGGAGGACTAAAAGTGTGACATGCATCTGAAATCGGGTTTCTGGGTACCGCAGCTTTTGCTCCTGTTAGGACTGAATCCCTGTGCAAGTCCAGATGGCAAAAACTCACATGGATTGGTGCCTTTTGGTGCTGGATAGATTTTGGCTTCAGCATTAAGTCTGTTCCCCTGTGAGCTCCAAGCATCCTACAACCCATCCACAATGCTTCAAAAGGTCAAAAGGCCCCATCGGGGAGGGTGTTCAAAGACAGGCTGGACACACACATGGTGGGCATGTCGTGAGAGGAGCCGGCTGAAGCCGGGGGTCAGACTAGATGGCCCGGGAGACCCCCTTCTGACTCGCTCTGTTCCTGTGTTTCATCCAAGAGGGCCACTTGCATGTCTGGTGAAAGCAATTTCCATGGCTTAAACTAGGCAATTGTGAAGAAGGGCATCCTTGACGCCCTCCCAAACTTCAGCTTCATTGGATGACTGCTGTCCCAGTATTCTGACAAAGACGCAGCTCTATCGCCTTCCTCCACACCGTGCATAATCTTATAAACTCTCACCATGTTTCCCGCTGCCACCCTTTTCTCCTAAACCAGGTAGCCACATGTTCTGGTCTTTTTATGTCAGGGAGCTCCTTCAGTCCCCCAGTGACTGGATTGCCCTTTCTGCACCTGCGATGATACAGAGAGAGAGATTTACCAGTTCAATTTATCAGGGGGGTGTATGGCGTGTTCATTTTTCATTGCTCCCCTTCTCTGGAAAAAAAAATCCTTCAAATTGATAAATAGCACAAGGGTCTGGACAGGGTGATGTTTCCCTGGTGTGCTCGCTCTCTCTCTTTTCCTTGAGAAAGGAACTTTGTTTAGTGTGGGAGCACTCAAAACTGGCTTCCCTCGGATGCAGATGTCAAAATCAGGGTTGTTTAAAACCCCAAGCAACATTAAACAGGGTTGTACGGAAGATAGATCTTGATCTACCAGCTCGTCTTTGCATGATTTGCAGCAGATTGGAAAAGATTTCTGGCTCCTGGTGATTTAAGAATAGCAGCAACACAATGACTCCCCCCCACCCCCCGCACCGCAGCCTTAAATTATCCCACCGACACCAGGAGAGCAAACATAGCTTTGGGTGAAGAAGGCTAGACTTGTGCAGTTCTGGCACTCAAAACACATTACGGGGCACAGAAGTGCTAAATTCTAGTGTGTGTGCTTTGCACCAGGCTGCAGCTAGTGGGTTTTGGGATGCTAGAGAGAAAACGAAGTGTGTGCTAGCCTGACACCCATTCACCATGGCCCTAAAAAAAACACAGAGGAAAATAAGGCAACTGGAGAATAAAGAAACCTATTTGCACAGAAATGTGCATGCGGCATGACTCTCTTACTCGGAAGTAAGTGCCACTGAATTCACGGAACTTCATGGCACTCCTGAATGTGTTCATGACAAGCGGATTGTGCTGTCCTGTCTAGGATGATGACATCCCCGAAGCAGCCTGAAATGTCGCTTGCTGGTCCTGCCGTAGCTGCCTGACCTTGGCAGTGTTGCTGCTGAGCTCTTGCAGGGGGGGACACAAAAAGAGAGAGAACGGGGTAAAGGAGAGGGCGTTTTGTCCGGCGCTCTTGTGAAGTGCAGCCTGTTCTGTGAGTTGCCTTCAGAAATACAGTTGCAAGCTCTGTTCAACAAGCACTGCAAAATGTAATACTTCTCTTTGCTAGACATCCTCACAAAGCAAATAAACAAACTGGGCATGTGTGGGATGGACCCAACACAAAGAAAAATGAGCTACTAAGCTTGCCCCGTGCTTCCTATCTCTCTGTCCAGACAGCTACCAGGAATTCAAGAAAACCTCCTACAGCGTCTTCTTCGGCTTCGATTTATCGCAGATCCGGGCAGCGCTTCACGATCCGAACCTGCTGTACCGGGCAGAGCTGAGACTACGCGCCTCTGGTCCGGAGCAGCGGCTGGAGCTCTACCAGGTACGGTGGGAGGGCCCTCAGCCCACAGGACGGGTGCAGGTACAGGCACCTGGGATGCAGCGCAGTGTGACATGGGAAGGAGGGGTTGGCGTGGGGCTGGCAGGATGCTTGAGGCTCCAAGACATGCTTCTGGGCACTCACACGGGCCTAGGAGTTCCTGGCACCCCGCAGTCCTATCCCACATGAGTTCGAGGTATGATCATCACTTGGCAACAGGGGGGAAGCATTCTGTGTATTCTCAGAGGCACCCTTATCCTTCAGTCCAAGGTTTTGCTCCAAGATGGAAGACAAGAGCTGTACATTCTTCCTAATGAGGCTTGGTTCACAATCAGGACCAAGGAGCAGCAGGGTGGGGTTTTTGCCCTCCTGCATCAGCTCAGCGCCTTTTTTCAACGATGCCATTTTCCTTAATGTGTTGTATATCTTGTGCGTATATTTTCCCCTGGTAAATGCATCTGTTGACACCTCTTTAGTCTGAAATGTTTTTATCCCCTGGAAAAAACTGCAGTTCTGAGAAGCATGAACACATAGAGAACTGTGTCCTGGTTTGCATAACGATTGAGGAAGTGTGAATTTGCAAAGATCATATCAAGATGCAAGCCTGGTCCCAAGGCAGAAGCTGCACTGCTGCATTTCTGGACACAACGTCCAAAGCGCTGTGGGGGCGTCTGGCTGCCTGCCTGCAGCAAGCTGAGGCCAGGTGAAGGGGCAGAACTTCAGGGCATTGTCGGATTTCTGCCCCCCGACCTTGGAAGCCTTCTGCAGGCATCAGGCAGGTTCGCACGATCCAGGAAAGTACCCTGTGGGAGAAGCAGCGCTCACAGTGTGTCTGCCAGACAGTGGGGCCCACTCTGCTCCTTGGTCCTCCTACAGGGTCCCAGGGACCCTGGGGAAGCCCAGAGCCTGCTGCAGACCCCCATGACTGGCTTGGCCTCCTCCGGAAGAGGCTGGGCAGAACAGCCCCACGGGAGAGGGCCTCCTTCTCCAGGGGAGGCCAAGCAGGGCACAGAAGGCTCACCCCACTGCCAGCCACGGCAGCGTGGGGAGCCTCCGCCAGCCTGCCAAAGGGCCACCTGGGTGCCTCACGGCAGCTGTCGCCGCCGAGAGCGGCCAGTTGCCCCTGCAGTGGCCTGGCTTGCCCCCTGTGGGGCAGAGAAGCCCTCCACCCAGCCATGCCTTCTCAGGGCGACTTCTAAGCCCAGCCTGATAAGCCCGTCTTGGCTTTGGGCAGCAGGTGGCTTTGATGGATCCGTGGCTTACATGCCACGCAGCCCCGTGGGCCACTGGGGAAAGAAAGCCGCCCGTGCGCGGCTCTGGGCACGCCAGGGTGCGCACATGCGTTGCCCAGTCGCCCCGGCGCTTCGCCCGCTGCCCCCCCCCCCCGCTCACCTCTTCCCTTGTGCTCCGTCCCTCAGCAGCAGCACCATTCTGTCAACACCACCACCTGGTACTACCTGGACGGGCGCATGGTCAAATTCAAGGCCGAGAAGGAGTGGCTGTCCTTCGACGTCACCGCCGTCCTCCGGGTGTGGCTCGCAGGCAAAGGTAAGTGCCCGGGGAGGAGCCCCCTGCCCCACGTGCCCTGGAAGGGGAGCTCTCGATCCCGCATCGCGGAGAACCCAATTCCGGACAAAGTGCGTCAGCTCACCTCTGTGCAGCAGCCTGGGCTTTCTTCGTAGGGAACCTCACCTCCAAAGCCTCCAAAGATCACCCAGTGAGTGACATGGGCTGGAAAGGTGGAAAGGTTGACCTCAGCTCTGGCCACTTTCCAACGTGTGCCGTGCTGAGACGGCAGCGAGACCGAGCGTGTGGCCTGCTTCCCCTCCAGGCCTTCCAAATACCGTCCCGAGGAAGCCAAGCGTGTGCCGGTGGGATTTCCCAACCTGTCACCTGCAGGAAGCCGTCTTTACCACTGGATTTTCCTGCTCATACAAACTGATCCAAAAGCCACGGGCAAAAGCCCCAGCACTGACGTAGGTGCCTCCCACACGGCGGCATCTTGCAAGCGAAAGACTCGCAAATCTGGGAGAAAGACTCAGTCGATGCCTCTCTCTGGCGGGTGTGTCTGTTTGCTTGGCGTAGGAACATTTTATCTGGGGAAACATACCTAAACATAACATAACATCCCCCACCCACCCACCCACAGACTCCTGCTCTGTCTGCAACTAGCGTGACAGCAAGAAGGATGAGTGCTAAACGTCTCCACGACACGGAGGCACAGAAATTCTCTGGAAAATAAGCCCCCGGAAAAAGTAACGGCGGCTCCTCCGTGACCTACACCTTGCAGGGCAGTGTCAACATAGGAAAGCGTTCAGAAATCACACCTCCTCGACCTTCCGGCCAATCTAGAGTGCTGTTCTCCATTTTACCAGCGTTGCGCGACGTTGGGCGCGCCATAGATTCGCCAAAGAAGTGCTCGGGCACTTTTCCTTCCGGGGCCAGAAATCTAGGCCAATCGTTCCTCGCTCTGCTTGGGTGCCTGAGGAGAGGGCGTGGGGGGGAGGCCGGGAGGGCTGTGGAAAAACAATGCCGCAATCCGCTGAGAAGGCACGCCACGCCCTGGGCGCGCTGCCACGGGGTTTCGGAAGGAGCCGGATCAAAAGCATGCTCAACATGCGCCACTCCTTGGCTGCCTTCTTGAGAGAGGGTGCCAGTGGAAGGGGAGGGAAGCGAAGGAAGAGCGGAGAGGACCGTGTTGCGGGCGCCCGCATGGTCTCCGATCTGCCACGCTGCCGCCCTCGCCTCCCTGACCTGGGAGCCTTTCACCCTTGCGCACGGAACAGCGAGTCCGGCCTCCGTTGCATGAGGTCCGAGCAAAAGGTTAAGGGAAAGGGGGCCACTGCTGAACTATTGATACTTGGATCTTTGTGTCCTTCTTTTTATTTTGGGCTATGTTTTGGTTGCGGTTTTATTACTGTAAACTATTCTGCAGCAACTTGGCTGTTTGGGTAGCTTGCAGATCAGACCCCTCAGTGGTGTGTGTTTGACGCACTCCCTTCCGTTTGCACTCTTGGCCGAGAGAAGGGGTGCTTCCATGAGGCACGTTCCACCAGGGTTGTGGGTTCGGATCTCCCCTCTCCCTTTGCTGAGAGTTCACGCATGACGTGGACCTTTGTGCATTTCAGAGCCTCTGGGAAGATTCCGCCTGAGCGCCCACTGCTCCTGCGAGGGCCACACCGAGCAGCTGAAGGTGGAGATCGAAGGTACAGAGCTGCTTGCGGGACGAGGGATCAGCTGCCCCTGGGGAGGCGGGCTTGGTTGGCTCCAGAGGCCGAGCAGGGGCTGTGTGTTGGCTGGGAGAACACGGGGCATTTGGCTCCGCTGCTTGGGTCACTCCTGGAACTGTAGCTGCCATTATTCTGTGGGGCCTTGGTCCAGCGGCCCTGTGGATTTTGCCCCATGGATCACCGGTCTCCCGCTCCCTGGGGTCAGCAGAGCTGGGCCCCTGCCAGGGGCACCCCATAGCAGGGACCCCTGACTGCAGCCCCCGGGAGCCTCCTCCCAGGGAGGCCCGCACAGCCATGCTTCCGACTGCGGATTCTTCCGATGCGGGGAGGCACGCTCGGAGCGGAGGGGACATGCAGGGGCACCGAAGGCCCCCGTCTCGCCCCATGGCTGCTTTGGCTCGCAGGGTTCCCCCCACACACCGTTCTTGTAGGACTGCCCTGCCCCTGTGGAGAAACAAAGCCAGCCTTGAAGTAAGCCAGAGGCACCTCCTACCTGGCAGCAGACAGGACCCGGGAATACGCCCACTCACCTGCTCCCCGTCAACGCCACACACCTGTCACCCCAGAGCTGGCAACCGCACGTCACATATGGCTTGCTGAGCCCTTCGGGGGATCCGAGAAGGCTCCCCCTGCGGTTGCCTTGCACTTCCTTCTGCCCCAGATTCACAGATTCTGCGGAGACACACGCCGTTTTCTTCGGCAGACCCTTACCGAGAAACTAGCTCACCGGGCGGTTTCATGCGTGCCGTGATTCTCGGCTTCATGCAGCTGAGGGTGCACAGAACCCTCTGCACCTCGCCGACTGCCATTCAGAGGGTTAGGGGACAAACCAGGCACCAAAGACAGCCTTAAATGCCTCGGTCGCCTCGGTCCAATTTCGGTGGTGCTTAAGGGATGCTGCTTCAGTAGCTGGGCCCGACTGCCCTACAATTTTTTGCACCCCCAGAGCGTATCCCCGGCAATTCTGCAGGGTATTTCTCCATCCGAGTTCAGCCGACAAGCCCGCAGTTCACGCCGAGCGGTTTTAGGGTCGCTTTTACAAAGCGTACGCTTCCGTGCTGCGTTTTACGCATAGCGCTGTGAGAGTCATGCTTGAACAGAGAGATCCACACACTCATGGCCAGTGCGCGTTTTCTTCCAGGGACCAGATCCAAAAGAGGCGACCAGCAGCAAATCAGCCAGGCGACCACGCAGCTCCCGTACTTGCTGGTGATGGCGATGCCGCCGGAGCGCGCACAGCTCCTGCACAGCCACCGGCACAAGCGATCCACCCAGGACGTGGGCTACTGTGGCCAGTAAGTCGTTCGGGACCAGGAGGAAGCCAGGCATGCAGGACGCGGGCCTTTGCGGTGTGGGTTTTGCACCCGTGTCCTCAAAGAGCCGTGAGAAAATGCATCGGCCTGTAAGCTGCGTCCTGCCCCGTCGGTTCATGCCACACTCCGCCGGCAGCAGGGAAGGCCAAAGGCCGTATCTATCGCTGGAAGAATCCTCAGCGCCTCCCCAAACTCCTGCTTTTAGGGTGAAGCAGGAGAGGAAAAGGGAACTGAAGCCAATATAGACGAACGGCCCAAAATAAACACTTCAGTGCAGCAGGCACAATTCCTTTTCATGGATTCTTGTAGCGGGAGCTGCAGGCTCCAAGGGAGTTTCATTTGTATGCATGTTTGGAAGACCCTTCTCTCCAACAAGGCATGGACCACATTTCCCATGGTTCTTAGCAGCCACATTGTTGGGGCCTTTACAATTGGGGCCTTTACAATGTTCATCGTCACGACACTGCCGATATCCTTAATTCGTGGTTTTAAGCGGAAAGCATTGCTGAAGTGGCGATCTTGTACTTGCACGTGTAGCAAAGCCCCCGAAAGGCAGCCATTAAAAAAATGTGCAAAGCTAAGTATTTAAACAAAACCGGCAAGATGCTTTAGTACACCCTACGCTGGGAGAGCCACAGGGCTTCAGCTACTGAGTGGACAGAAGGGGGATGGATGGATGGATGGATGGATGGATGGATGGAGAAAGCATACATACATGGAAAGCGTATCTGAATCTTGCCACGAATCCATCCCCTGGGATCCATGAGCAGGAACTGCTGGTCTTGCTGGAGCCTCGGTCTGAACGAGCAAGGATCTTCTAAGGATGGTGCCACAGTGGGGAAGAGTTTGGTGGTGCATAGGCCCCATGGCTCATTTGAGCAGAAATAGGCTCCAGAAGCCAAGACGTGGGTTCGACCTCTTTCTTAGGAGAGTAGGAGGGGTATCTGTGCAGCGTTGGACTACAGGAAACGGCCTCGGCGAGCGCCACCCAGCTGGTCTATGAGCTGAAGGCTCATGCCATAAACTGGGCTGCCAGCAGTTTCTGCCATGCTGGAAGAGAGGGGAAACAGGACCTCCATGGTTTAGGTCAGGAAAACGGAAGGGGGGCAAGACCCCTGAGCCTGCGGCCTAACACTTTGGGGCTTTTTTCGCGGCAGGTCCCCGGAGGAGAAGAACTGCTGTGTCCAGCGCCTTTACATCGACTTCCGGAAGGACCTGAAATGGAAGTGGATCCATGAGCCCCAGGGCTACTACGCCAACTTCTGCATGGGGGCTTGCCCCTACCTCTGGAGTTTAGACACCCAGTACAGCAAGGTGGGGACAGCAGCCTCTCTGCCTCAGCCAAACTGTTCCCCACCTCTTGCCCCCCCTCGATCCCCAAAATAAGCATGATCTCCCATTTCCTGGCACTGCACAGAAAGTCGGAGTCCCACAGCTGTCCTGGAGCAGCACGTGGGATAAACAGGTGCCCCCCACCCCCGGCTTGCCTTGAGTTTCCCAGCCCTCCTTCGTGAGCACCAGACTCTACCTGTTGGTGTGTGATGGGCTGGAGAGGAAGCCAAGGATGGCGGCAACAGAAGTATCTTCCTTCCTCCCCCGCAGTGGGTGGGAGATCCCGGTCCTGCAAAAGGGCAGCAGGTGAAAGCTTTTCCCCTTCGATGCAAGTCTGGAAGATCTGAGCTTCCATTTTGACAAAGATGGGATTTGCAGATGCTGTTTCCTGGTATTTCTCATGTACTCACCTGTTTATGGGTTCTTTGCACAATGCTGAGGGCTGCTGCCCCCCTCCCCGCCCACCCTCAGTTTCGTTTCTGCGTCTCGCTATTATTTCCAGAGAGTGGGCACAGCGTGGCCTGGAAGTATGAAAGCAAAAGGAGGTATGATTTCATTGTGTGTATCTGCACCCTTCCAAGTACCGCTTCCACTGTACTGCTCAAGGGTTGGGAAGTTAAAAAGCACAAAGGGAAACACCCTTCAGGTCTCAGTTCTGTGATGAAACAGAAAGTAGATGCAGCAAATTAGCAGTCCCCAGTCCAAAAGATCGTCTTCCGTGGCATCTCAGAGGAGTGCTGGAACAGCTGAGTCTTTTGTCCTCTGGCTTGCTCTAGAACAGCCTTCTCCAACCTGGTGCCTTCCAGAAACATCTGGATGGCAACACCCAGAATTCCCAGTCAACGGGCCTGCTGGATGGGAATTCTGGGAGTTGCGGTCCAAATGCCTCCAAAGGCCACCAGGTTGGGGAAGGCTGCAGGAAAGGCGTTCCGTTGCATTGGGACTGCCGGTGGCTTCAAACGAGGGCCAGGCTGGCTGGAGATGGTGGCAGACAGCTGGGACAGGTGGCTGTCCCCATTTCAGTTCCCTCTAGTCCCCGGTGTAGGAAAAGCCCACCTCTGGCTTACCCTGGCTCTTCTTAACATCGTTTCGGTTTCTTGTGGCTGTTGTAGGGGAAATGTGCTCAGATTAAGGCAGGTGAATGGCAGCCACCTTCAAAGCCACGTGCCCTGGCTGGTCCAGTGTTGGATCAGCCATTCCAGTAAGACGATCCATCCAGAACTCACCATTTCTCAACAGGTTGTTCTCGTTTTATCTCCACAGGTCCTGTCTCTTTACAATCTGCACAACCCATCTGCCTCAGCCACGCCCTGCTGTGTCCCAAATGAGCTTGCACCCCTGGGGATCATGTACTACGTCGGCCGTCAATACAAGGTGGAAAATCTCTCCAACATGGTTGTGAAATCATGCCGATGCAGCTGAGGAAAAGGACTCACGGACTCGGAATATCCGTTCTGGGCGGGTTGGAATTTTTCAAAAGCCAAGTGGGGAAGAGGCTGGGACTGGAGCTTGAGAGAAAGAGGCAAACAGACTCCCCTTTCCACCCTCACAAAACCACAAAGCCTTTTTCAAAAAAGAAAAACCTAATTCAGTGAGATTTATTATTATTATATTATTAATATTATTTTATTTTGTAAATTTATGTCTTGGGGTTGTGTGAAAAGTCTTGAATTCTTTGTAACTATTGTGCTTCAGAGGTTGACAGAATTATAATTATTATAAGAATAACTATTTCTCTGAAAGAAACAACATGAAAGAGACACACACTACCCTCCTGCCATAGAGTATGTGTTGGAAGAAGCTGGGCACTTGGATTTTTGAGACGAGCAGAGCAAAGAGAAACACTCTCAGCACTGGGCAGAAAGTCTGGCTGGGTCAGGCACGGACGGGCCCGGAAGGCCATGGCTTTGGAAGACTGCCCAGCGCAGCCTCAGGGGGATCTCAGCGGTCAAACGGCTGTGTCCGGACGGTACGAGAGTGCCCAAGCTTCCTGCAGGGGCCAGGGTCGCTGGACGATGCCGAGGTCACCCGCAGATGTTCTCAGGGCCCCCACCCCAAAGAAGATGGCGGGGGCAAGATGCTCCTCCTCAGCCCCCCCCCCCCAGCCCCGGCGCCCATCTGGCCTTTGCGTGCTTTGCTCAGACTCTGTCTTGTCCCCTTCCTGGGAGACACCCAAAGCGAGGCACCCCTGCCGTGGGCAAGGCCTGCAAAGAGCAGGTGAAGTGGCGGGTCAGGGTCTTGGGGGGCAGATGGCTCCGACCCCCAAGTGCTTACCTCCGCCCTCTGGCCCCCACAGCCCCCCTCCTCGGCCAGACAGCTCTGCTGGGGGGCTTTCCTACGGGTCGATGGGGCTGCGGGACCCGAGAGGGGCAACGCGGACTGGATTTCTCCTGGGGCGGGGGCCGCTTTGCACTCATTCGGTGCCAGGTCAGGCCTAAGCAATGAGGATGGTGGGGGGGGCTGTCCTGAGGGCAAGGGAAGGGGATCGCGATGCCGCTGTCATTGTCGAGTGTAATATTAAAGAAGAGTTTTCCCGCCTGGATCTGTGCATTGCTGACTTTTGTTCCGCCTTGTGGGTTAATCCCTTGCAGAGCCTCTTGGCTTCCTCCAGGCCATGTTTGCCCGTGGGACAACTTCACTGGCGCCCTTCAAAGCATCCAACCTTGCCAGCTTTTAAAAAATATATATATCTGTTTTCAGCAAGTGCGTTTGCGGTCACCTCGTTGGCTGCTCAAAACTGTGGCTTCTAAGGGGTTGTCTGGAGCACGTTGGGCTCAGATCCCACCTCCGTCTTGCCCTCTGTCTTTTGGGCAAGTTCCTTCTTTTTTGACATACTGCTCCTCGCAGTCATTTTGTGGCAGTGCCCCGGAGTTTCTCAAGACTTTTCCTGGGCTTGTTTCTCCCCACCCGCTTGACTTCCAGTGTCTTGGTGGGGAGAGGGGACAGAGGGGCACTTGCCCCTCTTCTAGCGCGAGAAACAGCTAACCCAGAGAAGAACCAGCCGTCGACGCAGCCTGGTTGCCGGTTACACACACGTGTGGGCTTTGCTCATGGACACGGCCCCCGTGGGAGGCGGAAGCCACGGGGTCTGATGCTTTTGCGAAAGAGGCTTGGCAGAAGCACCGGTCGCTCACTGTGACGCTGACGAAGCAGCCTGCCCCCTGGGGACAGACAAGGGGCTGGACGTGCCCTCCCGCAGCCCCAGGAAGCATCTGAGCGGCCGCTGCAGGCAACGCGCTCGTCTCCCGATCCAGCAGCGCCCTTCCTTTCCTTGCCAGGGCTCCAAGCGTCTCCGGAGCTTGGCCCGTCTGGGGGATCTGGACAGGGGCGCTGGCCTTTTCCTTCCCTCACGCCAGCCGCCGAGGCCACCTGGTCTACTGGCCAGCTCCCAGTTTACGCTATTCCAGGCCAGCTCTGGCCCCAATCTGTAGCATTCCCGTTATGCCACAGAGTAAATATTTCGGGCTGTCACGTTTTTGGCTGGAGCGGCTCCCTGGCGACTTTCGCAAAAGCTTCCTGTTTGTTACCATGGCAGCGTGAAAAGGGAGCGCTGGGACCCTGTGAAGACGCAAGCGACTCTGGGGACCAGCAGGAGCCGTTGTGGGACACCTCGGCCAGCACTGAGCGGTGCCCTGAGAACCGCCGACAGAGGGCCGAGTTTAGCGAGGGGCAAGTGGGAACCGTGGGGCAGGGAGAACGATGGAGGGCGGCTGTCAGAACAGCCCATGGCAAGGTTCCCCGGGCGCAGCAATCTAAGGAAACCAGTCCTGGCCTACCTTACAGGGTCGTCATAAGCGCAATTGAAATGATGTCTCTGCAGTGCTTTGAACATTCTGACGGGTGGAAACGAGGAACTGGAACTGGAGAAAAGATGCGGGGAGACTCTTGCCATTTCCACCTCTCCGCAGAGGAATCCCTGCCAGTAGCAAAGGGTTCTGGGGCACATGCGAGGGAGCGCACGCGGAGGGACACGTGAATTGGGAACACGGCCTACAACATAGCCAGCATCCACGATCACCTGCAGCTGTGAAGGACCCCAGCAGACAAGCTGACTTGCAGCCGTGTTTCCCCACCATCCTCGGCGGCCTGCGAGCCGCGGCGTGAGAGGGGCTGGCCAGAGACACGGCAGCAACGTCCATGGACATGCAGGAAGGAGGAGGGAGGATTAATGGATTAGGCAAGCAGGCGTGGGTGGGTGGGCGGGTGGGGAGAGCCTGGGGAAAGCGGAGAAACGGGGGGACCGGGCGCTTGGAAAGGCCCCAGGAGCGCCGAGGTTCCCGGCCTGGCCCTGGAAGCCTCACCCTCCCCAGCGTGGCCGCTCGGCACGGTGTGGCTTCTCGCAGGCGACGGATGGAGCCCTTGGCGGTCCTTCCCGGCCCCCGCACAGGACGCTCTGCAGACGGAGCACGCGGAGGTCACCGGCTTCGCACTCGTGCCAAAGGGCTGGCTAGAACGGGAGAGTCTGTTCCCTTCCCAAATTCTTCGGGCAGCCCGGGAGGCGCTGGACGGTCGACCCGGCACCGCCGGTGGCTTCTGTGAGTGAGTGCCCGGTCAGGTACGCTCAGCACCGCTCGGCCAACTGCAGGATGATGGGACGAGTTGCAGGCCAACATTTCTGGGGCACACCACTTTGGGGAAACGTGATCTGTGCTGAAGGCAAGTTTCCAAAGGTATCAAAAGGACACTTTAAGGTAGCAGCACGGAAAGTGTTGCCCTCAAGACTTTGGCCTTTGGAGCCCATGCTGGGGGCACACGGGGGATTCATGCTTACACACCTAAAGGACCACACGTTGTCCAACAGCCCATTAAAGGGCAGCCCTTCAGCGAAGCAGAGCAGGAAAGACACTCACCCCAGGCTAATGCTACGCAGGAGCAGAGATCACAATCTAATCACTACAGCCTAAGTCCTATTGCGCTGCAATGCACTCTGGACATGCTCAGGGGCGGCCTTCTTTTCTCTTCCTGTTCCAGTTTTCAAACGGGTCTTGGTGAGCCCGGGCTCCCTGGGGTTTCTCCAACCATGGGGGAGAGGGAGGGGGTGCAGCTGCCCTCAGAAGCCTTTCACCCTCCTTCGGCACACTGCACTCGCTTGGCCGGGGAGGCCTCGGCTCCTGCGGATCCTGCCAATATCCCAACTTGTAAACACACTCGGGGAGTTTCCTTCCGTTGCCAGGGGCTGGATCTGAGCTCCGGCATCCGAACTGTAAACAGAAGCTTGGCTGGGAAGCGCTTGGGGAATGTAGAAGCTTTTTCTGGGGAGGTTTGTGGTAAACAGGGAGACAGGGAGCAGAGCTAAAAACAGCTCTTTGCGAGACTGCGATCCAGTCACCCCGTGAGTCGTGGGGCATCGAGAAGGAAGCTGCAGGGCAGCGCTCCCAAAGGAGGCAGGTTCGGACAGGGTCTGGCTCACCTCCACCTGCCATCCCTCTTGAACGGGGCGAACGACTTATATTAGTAAATGACATTTAATTCTGCAAGGAGAGGCACACACTCCCTAGCTCCTACTGGGAGTCTCCCCTCCCTACTGCCTGCCAGAGTGGCCAAGTGTCCTTTTTATGGAGAACCATCCTCTGTTGGAAGGGTTGTCCAGGCCACGTCCGATCTAAAAAGAAAGAACCATAAAAACGGTTGCCCAGCCAAGGTGATCACCTGGACAGCCGGCAGAACAGCCGAACACACGCCTGGTCAGGGTCTTCCACATGATGGCAAAATGGCTGGCAAGATTTCTTCTTCTCGTTATAAAGGCTTCCTTCTCTGTTTGCATCTGTCAGACAAGCTGGACACAAATCAGAGTCCCCTTTTGGGATGGGATGCATTTCCTCTTTTGGAGGATTTGTGTGTGGCCAGCTTGTGCCCCCTCCCACAGCCAAAACACAGCCCGATTGAAACGAGTGAAAAGGGCAACGGATGATCCCCAAGCTCATCTGAAGGAACAACTCCCCTTCGCCACTCTGGCCTCAGCAGTGACCCTGAATGGAGAGGCACAATTCTTGCTTTGCGCCCGGGACGGGGGCGGCGGGGGGGGGGTGTGAGAAGCACTCGGAATAAATAGCTCTTTAAAGCAACACGTGGGGTTTTGGCGTGTTTTGTTTTCAAAGAAAAGAAAAGCAATCCAGCTTTTCCGCTCCCTGCAAGAGCATTTCCTGGCACGATTGTGGGACCGGTAGGCAGTGCTCTCGGAAGCGGGAGACGTTTCTAGTCACATCTGGAGCTTAGAAGAAAGAGGCAGGCATGCGGCCGTTCGTCTATCGTAAAGGGGATACTCAGCATCGCACTGCATCGTAAGCTGTTGCGAAACATATATATCCCTGCAAAAATAAACAGCCTCTCCAGTTATTTCTGTTGCTCCTTCTGTCTCCGCAGCCAAGATGCTAAAATGGGGTCATTCGTATCCCTGGCCCTGTCGAGACATGATTGGATAAGAGGCGGATGGAGAAAATCGCACGCTATTTTGTCCGCGCTCCCATTTCCAACACTCTTGGAAATGAGCCGTTCTCAAGTATCAGAATAACTCACAAGCCCAACGTGAGCACATCCAGTGACACTGCGGCAGAAAGAGCCAAGACTAAGGGTATCAGAAAAGCCCTGCCGGACCAGAACCAAGGTACATCCAGTCCAGCTGTCCATTCACACGGCGGCAAACCAGCTGCCCAAAGCATCCCTCAAGCAGGACAGGCGCAAGGCCCAAGCTCCTCAGCAGCTGGTGAAGGAGGTGGCCCATCGCCTCCCCCCTCAAGAATCTGCCCAGACTCCTCTGAAAGCCATCCAGATTGGCAGCCAACACCATGCCTGCCGCAAGCTCCACAAGTTGACTCTAAGCTGCCTGAAGAAACATTTCCTTTATCTGTCCTGCACCTCCTACCCTATTCAACCTTTTCTTAAGAAAGCAAGCAATGTCCAAATCAAGGCATGCCTGCATTTGTGGAGGCTTGCTACATCGCAAACACTTCCACAGCGTAAAAGATAAAATGCGCTTGACCCGCAGTCTGTCACCGAACCAGCCGCCCCCCGGGGAAGGGCTCGGCACGGCCCCTTCCCTTCGCACAGCTAGATCATTTCAGCATCCCCAGCTCCTCACGGCTGCCCCAGACCACGAGGCGCATCCCGAAAGAGGGAGGATGAGCAAAGAAAGCCGTCTGAAGTGATGCTGACTTCGCTTTGAGCAGGGAATGCGGGGCAGGGCGGGCAAGCGGGGGTCTTCCAGATATCACACAGGCTCAGCCGACAATTCATGCGCTCCTCCGAAGGGACCTGGATCTGTGGCCACACGCTCTGCCTGCACTGAAGAGGCCTCCCCAAGGGACGGGACTTGGGTCGCCTGCACTGCGCCAAGACTCTTCTGCAGCACGCTCCTCTCCCATCGGCGCTTGCGCCGGCGAGGGAAGCTCCGCGCCTGTATGCGTGTGTGCGCACACATGTGCCCGGGCAGCTCTCTGGCACCACCCAGCACGGCCCGCGGCTGCTCCATCGCCACTCTGCGGAAGTCTCACTGCCTTCGGTGCCATAGCGGGCGGCGAGAAGGGATAAGAGCTGCAGAACGTCCCAGCCGTTTGGAGAAGGGCTGAATGCGGCGGTAAGAGCGGCTCTGCCCGTCCCAGAGCGGAGCACCGAGTGCAGCTTGCCCCGAATCCGCCCCGGGGGTCCCTCTGACACAGCGCTGGTGGCGCCGGCTGGCAGGGCGGCCCTGCGGGGCTGGGCTCGGGCGCCTTTCCTAGCTGCTCCTGCGGATGCCTGTCCCCGGGACTCTCTGGGTGCAAAGCAGGGGTGCTGCCACAGGGAGGGTTCCCCAGCGACTGGACTCTGGGGGGGACTGTGGCGGAAATGGGGTTCGACACTGTCCCCCAAATCTGACCCGAGCACCTGCTATTTTCATTTATGGGTGCGGGGAGGGGAAAGGACGGTTGGGAAAGAGGCCGCAGAGAAGCTCGGCTTGCACAGGCACAATGCACCAAAACAGCACAGGGGCCGGTTGGAAGTGGGGGTGAGGGAGGGCCCCCAGGTGGCAGATAAATATATATTTCCGGAAAGAGATTAAAAAAGGAGAAATGGTCGCATCGTGGCGAGAGGAAATGACACAGCTTTGTGGCCTGTTCCCTAGCCCCTGCGCCATCCTGGGGCAGGAAGTGACACCAGCGCAACATGGCGGGGGGAGTTCCTGTGAGCCTGACTCGAGGGCCGAAGGCAGCTGCGAACGGGCCTCTGGCTGCGGAGCAACACAAAGCGACACACTGACGCAAACAGGCGCCGCCCCCCCCCCCCCCCCCGGGGATTGTTTGGGCTGGTTTTGAATCATTTCCAGGCGTAAATGGGCTGAGTTCATCCAAGCATGTGCAGAATGCCCCCTCTGGCGGGGGGGGAGCAAAGTGCCCCCAAATGGACCGCCTTTGTGAAGCGAGGCTGCCTCTACTGCTGCTTTTATGTGCCGCGGACTAAAATGGCGCTTTTGCTTTTTGTTTCTCTTCAGGCACCGCTTTCTTGAAAAGTAGGAGGGCATGGTGTCTCTGACCATGCATGGAGTGCCTTTGAAAAGCAGCATACTTGGGTGAACTCTAGCAAGGCTGTTTGAGCACCTGAAAGGCCAAACCTGAGGAAGTTTAACCCCTATGCGGTCCCTCTTAAAAAGGCACTCTGGGAATAAATTGGGAAAACAAAACAAAACAAAATAAATTGGGAAACACACTGCTGCTTATCAGCAACTGACTTGAAGCAGCTGCCTCTTTGTACCTGATGGCAGAGCCGGCCCTGATTTCCTTCACATCCCCAGTGAAAGCGTTGCGCTCACAGGAGAGCTCCTTCTCCTGAATCTGGGACACGGCGAAAGGCCTGAAAAAAGCAGAAATGTGAAACTGATTCTCTTCCAAGGATGGGGCAAGCTCTCTTCCAACAAAAGGTCCTTCTGGGACCCTGCAGGGCCTTCTTGCCGGGGCTTTTGATCCCCCGAAGGCGGAGATGCAAGGCAGGCGGACGGACGTCCTTCTGCACGTGAGACATGGCAACCCGGTGCAGTTGCTGGCGCACGATGTCACACCGGCCACAACTTGGACAGCTTCGAAAGAGGATTAGCCAAACTGCTGGAGGACACGGCATCTGGCAGTAGCAGCCGGGCCACAAACGCATTACCAGTGGCTGGGGAACATGGGTGGGAGGTGCTGTTGCCCTCGGTGGGATCCTGGGAGCGTCGGGGGGGCCGGACCGACCATGGTCCGATTCGGTGCCGCTCTGCTGATGTCCAAACGTCCCCCTGGCCCTGCCGGCTTGTGACCTCTCGCCAGACGTCTTGCACGCCTCCCGCCCCCTCGGCCCCCATTCACGGTGGACTCTTTCCTGGGCAAAGCCGGGCGCACACGAGCCCCCGAGAGTCTCTGGCTTCACCATCGTCATTCCGCCGTGTTGGTACTCTGCCTTCTCCTTCTGGAGAGGCACCCAGGCGGCTGGCTCCATCTTCCCAGCAAGCACACGGGGACGAGCGACCGGCCGAAAGCCACCCAGGGAATTTCAGGGCCAGGTGGGGCGAGAACCCCGATCACCTGGGTCCCCAGTCCAGCTCTCGGACCGCCACCCACATGGGCTCCCAGAGCCACTTAGAGGCAACCTGCAGTTCCTTAATGCTCGCCACACAGAGATCTTTGTTCCACAAGGCCCATCCTCACTGTCCATTGGCTGTGCTGCCCGGGGCCAATGGGAACTGTAGCCCAAGATCTCCAGAGGGCGCCGGGTTGGAGAAGGCTACAGAGGACATGCACTACCTCAGTTTTCCTCTCCATAAAATGGGAGCATGTGGCCAGGCTCCTGTGGCTTTGAAAGCAGCCTGACAGGAACGCATGACGCCGTGGGGAGCCTGGGGCTAGATGCCCTCTGGCCAGGCTCTGCTCCGAGGAGGCGTGCCCTGCGGGCCTGTCCTGGTGGCCCCACTGCACCCCCGCTGCCCACGGGTAAGGAGACATGATGGGGTCAGCAGGTACCTTCCAGGCATGAGTCATGTGGGGAAGGAACCCGGCCAAGGGGGCGTCTTGGCCTTGCCGCCCGGCCACTCCCTGCCTCAGTGCGGCTCGTCCTCCCTTTGCTGGCTACAGGCGGCATTCCGGGAGCTCGGGCCGCCCGGATCCCTCCTTGCCTCGTTCTGTGCGGAGCCGGCTGCAGAGCACCGACGTCCAGAGCGGCTCCCCCGGCTGCAGCCGGAGTTCTCTCACCACCATAAATCCTTCCCTGGGCCCAGAGCAAAGCTGCAAACAAACACTGATGTCATCCTCCCAGGACCAGGGTGGAGAAGACTCTGGGACTTACTCACCCGAAGGCTTAGCCTGGACTTCCCTCTCTGTATTTCTCCCTCTCTCTCTCTCACACACGAACACACGCAAACAGAACTTCCTGCTGTCCCAAAACCTCTTTGGAGCAAAACAGTCAGTGGTTAAAGCAGGGGTGGAGAACTCGAGGCCATCTGGGTCTTGTGGCCTACAACTCCCATCATCCCTGGCAAAGGCAGATGGGAGTTGCAGACCAAAACATGCCCCCCCACCCAGCCCCAGTCAACGCATGGGGAGATGGAGGCGAGGGGCTAGAATATGGGCATGGAGAAGCCCGTTTCGCTGGGCGGGGGGCTCGTCGCTGAACGGCTGTGGGCTGTTGCGCTGCTTGTTCCCAGGAGAGAGGATAAACCAGGGTGAACAACCCACGGCTCACAACCCCGAGCAAAGCATGAGTTCTCCCCGTGGGTTGTTCACGGGTTAGCACAGCCATGGGGCACAGACCACGGAGAATACGTAGTGCAAGAGCGACCTGCAGTATATCCGCGCCGAGCCCTGCAGTGCGGGCTCCCTCGTCACCCGGGCCCAGCCGAGGAGCGGCCGCTTGTGGCTCGCCTCCTCCCAGGCACCCCACGGGCCGCGCTGGGCCGTTTCCCCCACCCACCCACCCACCCACGGATGCCGATGTGGAGGGGCGGCTGCTGCTGCTGCGGGGGCAGACTGCCAAGCAGTGAGCCACGGAGGAGCTCCGAGGGGCTTCATTCCCACCCTGAAGCCGAGAGGATGCGGGGAGGAGTGGCTCTGAACATGGGCAGGGGAACTTCTTATCACTGAGCGGGCGCATGCAGCTGCTACATGCCCCGTCAGGGCTTGCTCAGCGCAGCTGCTATTAAGGAAGAGGCAGAACTGCAGCTTCAGCGCGCAGCTCCACTGGCCCGGGGCCACCCAGCCGCCTCAGCAGGGTCCGAGCCCAAGCCCCCTCCTCTGGATCCTGCCCGTGGGTCTGGGGGGGGTGTATGGGGTGCTCGGGGCACCCAGGTGGGCCTGGATACTTCCCCACGATGCGCTCTCCTGCTCCACCTTTCCTTAAAGTTTGTAAAAGTAACCCGTTCCTTTAAAGTAACTAGGGCTGTTTCAGGACCAGCTGCTGCCGTATTCATTCCCACTGGCAGTTTCTCGGCACATGATGTGCTCTGGCCATTCTAGACACGGAAGCCCAACTGGAGGGTTGCAATGTTGTCCAAAGGGTCCATAAGCAGCTGGGAACAGGGAACGACCAGCACGCGGTCCTGAGAAGTCCTCTGGTGCAGAGCAAGACCTGGGCGCACTGGGGCGTCCAGGGATGTTATCTCAACTTTACACAAAGACATGTAACAGTGTCTGCTACTAAATTATGCACCCTGAGCCGCTCTGCATAATTCCTGGCATTTGCATCCCTAGTCAAGTTTTGCTAGCCAAAATCCACCATAGCTCTGCCTTCTGAGACTTTACCAAATATTGCCACACCATTCAAGCATATTTTCACAACCATAGGGACTAGAAACATGGGCAGTTTTAAAAGCTACAATTTCCAGGAAACCTAACTCACTAACTACTCCAGCCGAAGTCATAGCAGACTGGCGGACCTGTCAGGGTCGCCTCATGAGCACAGGGATGAGCAACTTCCCAGTTAAGGTGACGTCATCTGCGTCACATGAAGATGGAATCTGCACCGATTCTAAAGAACCACCACCAATTCCTGGTGATCCAGCTCTGTTAAAGCAGAAATACAAAATATGAGGCCTGGTGGTTACCTCTGGGTCACATGGGGTCACAATCCAGCCTCCTGGAGTTCCCCAGAGGCCGAGATCTCTCTCCCTTTCACCAGCCCCTCGCCATTTCCCTGACCACCATCCGCTGGACACATCCTGGTCGTCTGTGCAGTCTTCCCCCGTTGTAAAAAGTAGAAATGCGTTTATTGCTGCTGCACTCAGAATGCTAACCTAAAACACGCAAGCAGCTTTGGTCTCCGGGCGCCTTTGCTTCTGCCCGCACAGCTCTGGTGGAATGTGGTCCCCGGCCCAAAGAGCATCTCTGAGGCGGCATCAGCCCTGAGGCCAAGAGAGGGCCAGTGCCCAGCGTTCAAGGGACGATCCAGATGTTGTCAGCCCTCGCCCTGCCCTGGCGCACAGTTTTCCCTTAACCACAACAAGACACCCATTCTCCGGCTTGTCGCTCTTCTCTCTCTAAATCCATCGGCTCTTTTATCAGCGCTCTCTCCTTCCACCCCGGCTTTTAATCTGTCATATTTTACTGGCCATGCTCACTCGACATCTGTGATGCCTCTTCTTAATAGCCTGCCTCGGCCTCTCTTGCATTTTATCAGCCTGGTGTCCTCCCTCCCTCCCCCCCCTCCCTCCCCGCACGCTTTCAGACAAGCCGCTCCCAAGAGCGGAGCTGCGCTCAGCTGTTTTCTCTGCTTGCACATTTCTCCCTGCGATCTTGCTCTCAGAAGTGGTCTGAGAAAAGGGTCCTACCCCTTCCCCACTGCTGTAATCAGTCTGTTCCTGAGCCAGCCTCCTTCCCTTCTCCCACCCAACCTGCTAGGACAATTGCAGCCACATGGAGACCTGCTGGGCTCCTCTGAGATGCGTATCGCCCTCGCCTGCCAGGACTGGCTTTGCTGACCCCATCAGAGCCTCTGACCTTGTGCTTGGCTGTGCATCCGCTCTATTAGCTTTTTACTGCGTCACGGATTTGAAGATCCAAGCACCATGCGAGGAGCGTTTCCTTTCCTGCTTTTCTGCAACATGGCCTCTAGGTGGCACTGCAGCATAGAGGAAAAACACAAATACGCGAGTGAAAAAGTGGCTTGTTTCATTTTTACAATCAATGCCACATTCCCTCCCCAGGGCATCAAAGATTCAGAGTGTGGGGCAGGCCTCACACCTTTGGCTGATCAAATCTGGACACCTTGGGCATGTGAGAAAGGGTCACGGAAGGCACTGGAGGATCTTCTCCTGGTGGTCCCACATGGACCTTTGGCCTGACATGAAACCACTGGAAGAAGAGCTTGAAGTGTGGTGGCCCCATTTCGACGGAATTCCCTGCCTCGAGAGGTCAGGTAGGACCACTAACCAGCTGTGTGGGGGGCCTGCCGAAACCATCCACGTCGCAGGAAGCCTTTCTTGCTGACAGGTTCAGTGGTACCTGTTATTAAAGCATTGTTCTTGTTTTTCAATTTGTTTTCGCTTTTTAATGCTTCACCCCTTCGTTGCCACTTCTAAAATGCACCAATGCAAAACTGGCCTCTGCACCAGACACATGGACCTTGTGTGGGGAAAAGCTTTTCTCAGGCCTCCTCCCGAAACCCTTCTTGCCTTGAACCGCCAATAAAGGCACGTGCTCGTTTCGAGTGGGTCGCATGGATGAGCTCCGCAGGATCATCCAAATCAACAGAGGGGAGCGTTCAGTCCA